AAGGAAGTGGCAGATTTCTTCTGGCTGTGTATTTTCAAATTCTAGCGCACTCGAGCTGGTTTCTCCAAAATTACCTACCCCACCTTTAAAATGCAAATAAAAAAAAAATAAATAAAAAAAAGGAAATACTCAAGTTAAGTGCAAATATGTAAAAAAAAAAATACCATACTTTAGTAAATGTGCTTTCCCTCCCTGTGTGTAGGTGTGCCTGGCCTTTAACCCCCAGAGCACGCTGGTGGCCACGGGCAGCATGGACGCCTCTGCCAAGCTGTGGGACGTGGAGACGGGGGACGAGGTGGCCACGCTGACCGTGCGTAATATTCTCTTTGATCCTGGTATCCATCCATCCATTAATAACACACTGCTTAACTTTTCATCCACTTCTAAAAGTAATTATCCCTAAATTGAGTCTTGTCACCCCTGCTGATGGTAAGCCCCTACATATACGGCCATTATACGGTAACTGCAAGTCTTTAATAAGGTCACTGAACAGCCATTCTGGGGGGAGCAGTGAGCGCTCTTTGAAGTGCAGGCCAAACCTGATTGGCTGCCTCTGTCTCAGCTCTGTTCACAGCACAACGAATCAATCACGCTGACAACAGGCTGTATGTTGATTTTAATAAGTAATATAGTGTTTGATGTGCGTTTTCATCGGCAGAGGAAGAGAGGGGGTTTATAAGAGAAGAGGAATGAAACAGTGATGGATAATGCTCTCTGTTTATTTCTCCCAGGGTCACACTGCAGAGGTCCTCTCTCTGTGCTTCAACACAGTGGGAAATCAGCTGGTCACCGGATCCTTTGACCACACCGTTTCAATATGGGATGTTGCCTCAGGAAGGTCAGACATCATCATGGTTATAGAGTGTTGCAGTGGTGACGTGTTTTAATAGGCAGACCCACATGTTAGCATCCTAAAGGGCTCCTTAGATAAAACTGATTTGGGATTATTGCAGCAGAAAAGCTCTGTGAAACACATGTTGGCAAACGCATGTTTATAACACTTCCACGTTCTGTTTGCAGGTTAATCTCCACATGTGAACACCGCTTTTAGGGTTTTTGAAGCGTAAATTCAATAGCCAGAAGTACAAAGCTAACTTTACGCTTTAAACAAACTTCACGACAGTCACTCGACTTCACCGCTAAGCTTAAAGTGGACCTATCATGCTATATTTGAATAATATAGTGTAGGACCATACCTATATAAGGCTTATTTATACGTTTTATTTTTCAAAATACCAAACAGATCATGCATTTTATCCATTCCTCATTTCGCTCAATTTAACACTGTCTTTGCATGGGCTGATTCTGTGAGAACAGCACCATCTGGTGGCCTGAAATATGTACTACAGCGTCTCCAGCGCTTTCCAACGGCAATGTCCGTGGCTGTCTCCTCCTGATTGGTGGA